TTCTTGTTACATCACCCTGGAGGCATATAATTTCAAGTAATCCTGGGTTTGATCATTTGGCTGAGGCAGTAACAGCCAGAGTTCTCCACTGGAAATATGCATTTTGTCCTTTGTAACTAGAATATAATCTGTAGGGTGGTGGAGATCATTTGACTAATTGGTTCTCCAATAACTTTTCATCCAATGGTCTTAGTATCCACTGATGGTTCTTAATTCAATCAATGATTACATTGGGGGTTGTGATTGTTCTTAAACTTCTCATATGCATATTATATCAGGATGCATTCAATAATAGGTAATAAAAGGAAAAAAAAGTTCAACTGAGCTTAACCATTAAAGGTTTACTTAACTGGCTCATATAACTGGAAATCCAAAGGTAGGTGTCTCAGTATTGGTGTCCAAGGAAGTTCATGCCCCGAAAGAAAATCAGGAGTTTCCAAGAAAAGGAGGCGTGGTGGTTGGGCAGACAACCACAATGCTCACTATAACATATTAAAATATGCATTTTTCATCTCTGTTCTCTTCCTAGATGTCAAACCTTTTTTTCCCCTTCTCCCCAGCCTTATATTCGATGTTATAGTTAACTAATGCTTATGTCCTGTGTCTTACCTAATTTAGATTCATTTATTGTTTTTAATTTGGACAAATTATGTTTTTAATTCTCATATTTATTTTTACTTGGTTCGTTTTCATATCTACCTGTCCCTTATTTTAAAAATCTTTTGCCTCTGAACATGTGAAGAATGCTTATTTTAAAATTTATTTCCGGTTGTATTTCTACTTCATTAGGTATGAAATCTCTTCTTTGTTGGTTTTGTGTCACTTTTTCCTGGCATGAGATTTCTTATTTGTTTATATCTTGGGCCATGGAACATACTTCTTATACTTGTAACTTACTGACTCTCAGACTCATATATTTTATATCTTAATATCTCTAAAATGGACTTTATTTTTCAATGGATGTGTTAAAATGTTATAATTCAATTGGCAGATCCTTTCCGACACATAATGACTCCTTATATGTGTTGAGATACAGTACCTGATCTTACTGCCCAGTGTCTGGTTGAGGCCTGCCATCTCAAACTGTGATTTTGTCCGATTTCCTCATGATGTTTTTTGTGAACTTATCTTCCAAGGGGCTGTCTTCCTTGTGAGTCATACGCAATGTCCTGATCATTGGTGGAAGGGCTGTGCCTGCCCAGGTCTAATGGGCTATGCCTGAGCAGTCTCTTGGCTCAGGGTGTCCTCACTATGACTGTACTTCAGGTTCTTCTATATGTGGTGACCCTTTCTGTGGAATTAAGTCTCTTCACACTGTTCATAGCTTAGGACAGTCAGTCAGCTTGTTTGTGCCCATGACACCAGCGCTGGCGAGCTGCCTTGTCTTTATTTGCAGATAGGGAACTGTGTTTTCCTGGCTCCTGACTCTCTTTGATCACTAGGGCCAATGCCTTGACCCCCCTACCCTTCTCACCATCCATAGCCACCAGCAATCTATGCGGCTCCTTTTCTATCAGTTCATTGTATTGTTCTTCCATCAAACTACCATATTCAAATCTGGGGCATGGGGTAGGGTTCCAGGCTCACGCTTTTCCTTTTTTTGATCTTATGTTTCAGAAGTCCTTGGTGTGTTTAATGCTGCCTTATCCTCTCCCCCTTCTCTCCCTCTCCTGCTCTGAACCTCAGTTGCAAAGTGCTAAGTTTCTCATGTTCAAATTTATGGGACACCAATGTCATATTCCTCTGTCCCTCCCACATTAGGACATTTCTCCCTTCATGTCTCAGTTCCCACTTTCTTCTCCTAAGGCACTCTCTCTGTGTTTGATATTTGTTTCAATGTATATTTTTGAAAACTGTGCCACATTCTTTTGACCTGCATACACATTTGTATTTACCTGATAATATTATAGTTCAGATTTCTTTCTTAACCTAAACTTTTTTTTTTACTTAGTACAGAGGTTGGCAAACCCATGAACCAAATCTAGCCTGTAACCTATTTTCATAAATGCAGTTTTATTGGAACATAGCCACAGCTGATCTTTTATGCATTGCCTGTGGCTGCTCTTGTGCTTCTAGAGCAGAGTTGAATAGTTGTGACAGGGACCATCTGGCCCGTGATGTGACGTGTCTTTGCCACATGACCCTTAACAGAAAATTTTGTAAGTTTGTTGGCTTCTGATTTAGCAGTTTTCTTTTTGCTTATATTTTTAGTTATGGTAAAATATATATAACAAAATTGACCACTTGGCCATTTTTAAGTGTGCAGATCAGTGGAATTAAGTCCATTCACACTGTTGTGAAACCATCAACACCATATGTTTTGGTCCATTTTCTTTTGCTCTAATTGCATACTATAGACTGGATGATTCATAATGAATAGTTCCAGAGGCTTGCAAGTTCAAGAGCATGGTGCTGGCATGTGCTCAGCATCTGGTGCGGGCCTTCTTCCTGCATTATAATATGGTGGAGGGCATCACAGGATAGCACAGAGCAAGAATGCCAGAGAGAGCTTGCTTTTATGACAAAGCCACTCCCAAGATAAACCATGTGTCCACTAACCCATTAGTCCATTAATCCACTAGAGCTCTGCCCTGAGGACCCAATCACCTTCCAAAGGACCCACCTCAGATTACCACTAAGGTAAACAATAGAACCATCCGTCTCTAGAAATTTTTCATCTTGAAAAACTGAAACTCTGTACCCATTGAACAACTCCCCATTCCTCCCTTCCTGTGCCCCAGGTCCTGGAAACCACCATTTATGCTTTTTGTCTCTATGAATTTGATTACTCTCGCTCGATACCTTATATAAATGAAATCATATGATATTGATCTTTTTTTGTGACTGGCTTATTTCATTTAGCATAATGTCCACAGGGTTCATCATGTTGTAGTACATGTCAGAATTTCCTTCCTATTAAAGGATGAATACTATTCCATTATATGTGTAAACTACATTTCCTTATCCATTCATCAGTCAGTCAGTGGACATCTGGGTTGCTTCCACCTTTTGGCTGTTGTGGAAAATGCTGCTAGGAACATGGGTATACAGATATCCCTTCATGACATTAATTTCAATTCGTTGGGGTGAAATTACCAAAATTACCCCAAAGTGAAATTACTGAATCATACGGTCATTAATTTTTTCAATTAATTAACTTTATAGTATTTAATTCACTTAATTTTTTGAGAATCCTGCATATTGTTCTTCCATGGTTTATTACACTTTTTAACATGCCCACCAACAGTACACAAGGGTTCCAATTTCTGTACATTTTTGCTAATCTTTGTTTTTGGTTCCTTCCTTCCTTCCTTCTTTCTTTCCTTATTCCTTCCTTTCTCCTTCCCTCTCACTCTCCCTCCCTTTCTTCCTTTCTTTTTGATAATAGACATCCTAATGAGTATTAGGTAATAACTCATTTTGATTTGCACTTCTCTAATTACTAGTGATGTTGAACATCTTTTCATGTACTTGTCCATTTGTATATTTTCTTTTTAAAAATATTTTTATTAGTTATTGATGGACCTTTATTTATTTGTATGTGGTGCTGAGAATCAAACCCAGGGCCTCACACATGCTAGGCAAGCACTCTACCTCTGAGCCACAGCCCCAGCCCTCATTTGTATATTTTCTTTGGAGAAATGTCTATTCTAATCCTTTGCCCATTTTTAAATTGGGGTTTTTTTTTCATTGCTGGGTTGCAGAAGTTATTTTTGAGTTATGGATTTTATGACATCCAGCTATCTTTACGAGGTATATGATTTGAAAATATTTTCTCCCATTCTGGGGGTTACCTTTTCATCCTGCTGATTGTGTCCCTTCATGCACAGAAAGTTTTAATTTGGGCATTCTATTTTGTCTATTTTCACTTTTATTGCTTGTGAGCACAATATATTTTAAGATCTACTAAAAACTGGGTGCACTGGTGTTGCACCCAGTCCCAGTTAGTTGGGAGGCTGAAACAGGAGGGCTCCTTGTGCTCAGGACCTCCTCTCAGAAAAAGAGGGATCTATCCATATTCTCTCTCTCTCTCTCTCTCTCTCTCTCTCTCTCTCTCACACACACACACACACACACATGCACACATACACAAATATATAAATATGTACATATATGTGTGCATATTTGTATGCAGTGTTTTGCTCTCAACCACAGTGTGCATCTATTGAATTTACCTCTCTAGTTCTCTCTTGATGGTCTCCTTGTTGTCTTTCACACTCCATGGCCACAGTCTTCACAATGTGTAGCCTACATTTTTTATGGAGTACCACAAAACTTTCTTTGCCATTTATATCCAGGAATGGCACGTATGGGTGATAGTCCCACCAGCTGGCTGGGCTGATGAGATGAACTGGGTTCAAAGGATCTGGCTGTTTTGACCTAAGAAAACAGCAAAGAAATCACACAAAACACAGACATGAGTTTCTCAGCTCTAGGGCAGGACAGCTCTGCGACTTTAAGGGGTCAGCTTCCATGCAAGACAGTGCTAGAAAGAGAGCGTTATTTTATAGGGGGGGACACACAAAGGAACTTCAATGGAATGTTCTTCACCAAATTAAGGCAGGAGATAGGATTTTGAAAGGTGGAGTCTTGCTTGGTGATGTCTTGTGGTCAGCAGATTGATTGACATCTTGGCAAGTCACACCCATCTCAGGTGCTGCGTGGGATCACAAGCAGAGTGCACAGGGTGTGCACACTGTGTTGCACACCCCAATCATCATGCAATGCCCCTCATATAACTCAAATGCACATAGCTCACACACACAGCCCGTGGATGGCTCATGACATGATAGGGCATAAACATATTTTAGTCTCACTAAACATTGACAGTTTAGTGCCTGCCATCTTAAACCCTGGTCCTCTTTGACATCTTTATGTTTTGCTGGAGACTACTCAGAAGCTACTTACAGCCTCTGACCATGTGGAAGAGGCCGGTATCTGAATAGAATGGTTATTATCAGAGAATACAATAAATATCTGTTTTGTTCCCTGATCTGCAGGTTGGACGAGAGAGTGCTTCCAAGAGTGGGGCGCCTACATCCACTTGGCTATTCCCAGTATGTTCATGCTGTGCATCGAGTGGTGGACCTTCGAGATCGGAACCTTCCTCGCAGGTCTGTCAGCAGTCCAGTGGACACCTATGCCCAGCCTGGCGAGTGACCTCTCCAAAGCTTTTCTAGAAATTAAAGTGTTGCTTCTCCATCCTGCACCATCTTATCAGGCTCTCGTGGAGGTTTTTAATACAGGCATAAACTTTTCACCAACCAAATTTGGAATGGATGGGACTGTAGCACTACTGACCCACCCTATATTTTGTAAATAAGGAAAAGGAGGCGGCTGGCAAGGGGTTTGCCAAGAGTCATGGAGTGGGAAAACAAAACCTCAAACCCAGGTCTCCTGACTCGGCCTGCCTTGTGTTTCATTCGACTTTTCCTAAGCATCTGGCTATTTTGTTGTTGTTGAAGTCTCTCTTTGTTGCCTAGGCTGACCTTGAAATCCTGGGCTCAAGCCATCCTCCTGCCTTGGCCTCCTGAGTACTGATGTGCACTAGCTCACCTGACTTCCAGTCAAAATTTTAAGACTTAATAAATGCAGAGTCATTGATTTGGCTCTGTTTTAGCTATGACCTGCATGTTTACTGAATTGTGATGATTTGAGCCGTTGGTATTCATTTTAGCCATCTGATCACTAGTAACATGATAGATCAAATAGAGGACAAGGTAACAGAGCAGGTTGTGCCCAGTGATACACGGTAGTGATCCTATCAGCTATGCATAGAGTTTGCCCTTCTGCCTTCCCCTCCCACACTGTGACCCCACATCTCCTGGGAATGACCTGCAACCCTAGGAGCCTTTTCTACTTTGAACCCGATGTTTTATTCCCTGGTGGAGCAGGGGCTTGTAAAATGAATGTGTCAATCTTAGCTGCCAGAAATCTTGGCAACTTCTCGAGGAAAAGATGTCTGGGGTTCTTCTCGGAACAATCGGACAGTGAATTCTACCTTCAAATGATGCTTCTGGGGCATGGTTGGCTTCTCTCAAATTAAAATGTGTCCTAGTTTTCTAAGGAAAATGCTTGTTTTAATTGAAGTTTTGAATGTCTTCTGCATGTGTCAACCTTTCAGGGCTGATTAATGTGACTGAGCTTGGAGCCCAGGCTGTCATTTATGAACTGGCCTCTGCAGCCTATATGGTAAGACCTTACGGGGTGAGACATCATCATTGCTTTGAGAGAGAGAGAGAGAGAGAGAGAGAGAGAGAGAGAGAGAGAGAGAGAATTGCATTATGGAGACAGCATGGATGGATTGGGGACCAGACACATGGAGTTGAGTCCTAGCCATAGCATTCCCTGACTATGTGGTATGGGCTCCTTACTGAACCTTACTGACATTTAGTCTCCTCCTATACAAAATGGGGGGAAATACCTACTTTTCAGGTGAAGATTGAATGAGATACTGCATATGATACTTAACATGATACCTGGCATATACATTCAACCAATATGGAGTTAGTGCTGGAATAGGATGGTGAGTGAGATGGAGACAGCTTCTGTTTTCTTGTAGCTGTGGCTCAGAGAGGAGACAGAGATAAAGAAGAAAATAAATAAATAAAGACAGACAAATATGAGCATTGCAAATATCATATATGTATGATAAGCACCATAAAAAAGCAAAAAATGGTCTGAGATGCATAAAAACAGAGGCAGATGCCTTTTAGGTCAGGTAGTGAGGGAGGGTCTCTGTGTGTCACTGTTTAAGCTGGGACATGAAGGATAACAGAAGCTGGCCTGGGGAACCCACAGGTGGGAGTCAACTGTGCAGCCTGAGCCAAAGCCCCATGATGGAACTGTACCTGGCACTGCTGAGGGCTTATTGAGGGTTATTGAGAGAAAGTTGGAGGGAGCACACAGGGCCTGTGGTCCCAGGTCAAGGAACAATCATTCTTCGCCTGTGTAAGCCATTCTTCGCTGGCTTCAGGGTAAGAATTGTAGGTGGGAGTGGAAAGGACAGAAGAGGCTGCTAGAATGGCCCAGGTAAAGGAGAAGAGAAGTGGAAGAATTAGGTCTGTGGGGAGGCAGAATGTCAAAGCCAGGGTCAGAGTTTGGTTGTGGCATGCAAGGCAGGGAGTGAGAAGAATCACACAGCTGTGCAGGGTAATGCCTCTTATCTTCTGATGCTTTTTTGAAATTCCCACCCCATACAGACATGGGAAACTGGGAAACTCCCATTGTTTTGTCTGTTTCTTTTTGTGTGTGTGTGTGTGTGTGTGCTGGTGCTTGAACCCAGAGGAGCCAAATACCCAATCTTTTTTATTTTTTATTGTGAGACAGGGTCTTGTTAAGTTGCTGAGTCTTGGCTTGAACTTGTGAACCTCTGTTTCAGCAACCTGTCCCATGCTGACTGGCCCAGTCACTGGGATTACAGGTGTGAGCAGCTGCTTCTTGTTTTTAAAAGATTAAGAGGCTCTACTGGGCAGTTGGACTACAGATCGTTTTTGTTTCCTTGTGTTTTTCTTTAATCTTAAAAGTGAAACAAATTTTAATGGTTATTCAAGTGATCAGCTGGGAATAAAAATAAAGAGTGTCAGGAGCCAGCCCAACATGGAGAGGGCAGGAACAGAAGGAAACTCGGCAAAGAGACGGAGGAGCCGGCTGAGGGAGACAGGGATGTAGTGTGGTGGGAGGTTGGAAAACATCCACTGGGTTTAGGGGTAAGGCCATTAGGGACCTCATGGAGCAATGAAGAGGTACAGCCAGATTTGAATGAATGACTTTCAAGGCAGGTAAAGGAATAGAGAGAGGCTCCTTGGGTAGACAGTTCTGCATAAATGTTAACCTTGGTTGTCAGAGTTGGGACGTGTGGTTATCAGGGGAGGGCTTTGATTTTGCTTCTGTACATATGTATGTGTGTATGTATTTTGGTACTGGGGATTGAACCCAGGGGCACTTAACCACTGAGGTCACATACCTGTCCCTTTTTATTTTTTATTTTGAGACAGAGACTCACTAGGTCATGTAGGGCCTTGCTAAGTTTCTGAGGCTGGCTTTGAACATCATGATCCTCTTATCTCCCCAGTTGCTAGGATTACAGGCATGCGCCCCTATGCCCTGCTATTTCTGATTTTAAATGGTGATAGTAGAGCTGTTTGATAAACAGGAGACATCTACTAATTCTGTCTTCAGATCTGTTTTTCTATCTGATCTGTCACACACTTCCCGTTTCTTTACATTTTTATTTTTAATTGTGGTAAAATATATCTAACATAAAATACTATCTTAATTGTTAAGTGTTACATCTCAGAATGTTAATTACACTCACACTATTATGTGACCATTTACAGACTTTTCATATCGCAGCGTGGAAACTATGCATCCACCATCAAGCTCCCCACCTCTTGTCCCCAGCCCCAGTTCCTGGCACCCACCACCTACTTTCTGTTTGTCACAGACTTCCTTTTGTGAGAGACAGGAAGGTAATAATTCTTCATTATTCCCAGGGGAAAGCAAGCTTTCTTAGTGGTGAGTTCACAATAAAATTATATAAAAAAAAAGACAAAAGCAAGAGTTAACAGATAAAACAGGAAAACTAGAGTTCAGATTTTGAGATAATGATGTAGTAGTAAGAAAAAGACTAGAAAATTATTATGTTACAAATAATTAGACATAAAAGAAAGAATTGAAACAAAAAAACAATATTTGCAAAAGAACCAAGTAGAACTTTGAGAATTAGAAAATAAAGTCATTGAAATCTAATATTGGATATGAAAAATAGCTGGTTAGTCACAGCTAAAAAGAATCAATAATGAACTTGATAGATGTAGAGACATTCCTCAGAATAAAACAAAGGCGTGTAGAGAGAGAGAATGTATAAAAGGTGTAGGTCAATATATATGTGTAGGAATTCCAGGGGGAGAGAGTAGGAGGCTGGTATAGACACAGTATTCAGGGACATAAGACAAGAGACAGAGCAAGATGATTAAAGATATGATTCTAAATATTTTAAAAATCTAATGATCATTATGCTGGAGATTTTAGCTTAGAAAATGAGGCAAGAAAAAAAAAAAACATCCAGATTGGAAAGGAAAAAAAAAGATTAGGAAAAAAAAAGTAAAATTATTCCCATTTGCAAATGACATGATCTTTTATATAGAAAACTACAAGGAATCTGCATACAAACACACACACCTTAAACTACTAGAGTTAATAAATGATTTCAGCAAAGTTGTAAGATATAAGATCAATACACACTCTTCTGTTGCATTTCTACATATTAGCAGTGAATAATCTGAAAATGAAGAAAACAATTCAATTTATTTAAAAATATTTAGTAACTTGATATACGAAAATGGGAATTTTGTCTTAATTTTTGTCAGTAAGGTAGCCTATATTTATGTTTAACTAGGTATGAAGTCTGTATAACCAGAAGATTATCAGTTTTCTGTCAATTGCATCTGTAACAAATTATTCACATTATTTTAATTAACTGATTAATTATTTTTGTGGAAATGAAAGCCAGGACTCGGTAGTTTTCTTCCCCCGTAGATTTTAATTTATATATATTCTTTTTTTTAATTGGTTGTTCAAAACATTATAAAGCTCTTGACATATCATATTTCATACATTAGATTCAAGTTGGTTATGAACTCCCAATTTTACCCCAAATACAGATTGCAGAATCACATCGGTTACACATCCACATTTTTACATAATGCCCTATTAGTAACTGTTGTATTCTGCTACCTTTACTATCCTCTACTATCCCCCCTCCCCTCCCCTCCCCTCCCATCTTCTCTCTCTACCCCATCCACTGTAATTCATATCTCTCCTTGTTTATTTTCCCATTCCCCTCACAACCTCTTATATGTAATTTTGTATAACAATGAGGGTCTCCCTCCATTACCATGCAATTTCCCTTTTCTCTCCCTTTCCATCCCACCTCATGTATCTGTTTAATGTTAATCTTTTCTTCCTGCTCTTCCTCCCTGCTCTGTTCTTAGTTGCTCTCATTATATCAAAGAAGACATTTGGTATTTGTTTTTTAGGGATTGGCTAGCTTCACTAAGCATAATCTGCTCTAGTGCCATCCATTTCCCTGCAAATTCTATGATTTTGTCATTTTTTAGTGCTGCGTAATACTCCATGGTATATATATTCTTAAAACCATCTTTTTTCCCCCCTGTGGTGCTGGGGATTGAACCTGGGGCCTTGTGCATACAAGGAAAGCACTCTACCAACTGAGCTATATCCCCAGCCCCTTTCTTGGAACCATATTAATATAAAAGCAATTCATACTAAGGAACACATAATATATTCACCTAGTTCAGAAATTTACAAAAGTGAGAGTAAACTTACGTCCTCTCTTTTTAGTCTGTTCCCCTGAGCCATCCCACTTAACCATTTTCTGATCATTGTTACCAGACCTTTGGACCTACATTTCTTTTTTTTTTTTTTTTTAACTTTTGATCATCTTTTATTGTTATAAAGAGAACTTTGTTCTCTAATAACATTTTATAATGTCATTAGAAATATTATGTTTAGAAGCTATGAAATATTTCTACTGTTATTAAAATATTATGTTTAGAGACTCTAAAATTAATTGTAAGTTTATAGACATATGCAAATGAAGTGTTTTAAGTAAAATTATTAATTAATTTTACACCTAAGTTTTCAAATAATTAAAAATAAGGTTTCTCTTTTTTTAATTTTTTATTGTTGGTTGTTCAAAACATTACAAATTTCTTGATATATCATATTTCACACTTTGATTCAAGTGGGTTATGAACTCCCATTTTTACCCCATATACAGATTGCAGAATCACAGCAGTTACACATCCATTGATTTACATATTGCCATACTAGTGTCTGTTGTGTTCTGCTGCCTTTCCTATCCTCTACTATCCCCCCTCCCCTCCCTTCCCCTCCCCTCTTCTTTCTCTACCCCCTCTACTGTCATTCATTTGTCCCCCTTGTATTATTTTTCCCTTTCCCTTCACTTCCTCTTGTATGTACTTTTGTATAACCCTGAGGGTCTCCTTCCATTTCCATGCAATTTCCCTTCTCTCTCCCTTTCCCTCCCACCTCTCATCCCTGTTTAATGTTAATCTTCTTCTCCTGCTCTTCGTCCCTACTCTGTTCTTAGTTACTCTCCTTATATCAAAGAAGACATTTGGCATTTGTTTTTTAGGGATTGGCTAGCTTCACTTAGCATAATCTGCTCTAATGCCATCCATTTCCCTGTAAATTCTATGATTTTGTCATTTTTTAATGCAGAGTAATACTCCATTGTGTATAAATGCCACATTTTTTTTTTTTTATCCATTTGTCTATTGAAGGGCATCTAGGTTGGTTCCACGGTCTTGCTATTGTGAATTGTGCTGCTATGAACATCGATGTAGCGGTGTCCCTGTACCATGCTCTTTTTAGGTCTTTAGGGAATAGACCGAGAAGGGGAATAGCTGGGTCAAATGGTGGCTCCATTCCCAGCTTTCCAAGAAATCTCCATACTGCTTTCCAAATTGGCTGCACCAATTTGCACTTTATCCAATAACTATAGACTCTGTTGAGAAAGATGAGGAATATAGCTCATTTTCCACAGCATCTCCCTCTACATTATGGTTTTTCTTCTAGTTCTCTTAGTGGTTACTTTTATGACTTTAATAATAAACATAGGCTTCTTTTTCTTGATCTATCAACTTTATAGATGCTGCATCTTGACTCCCTGAATTGTAAGATGAGGAATATTTTGTAATTGTGTTTCTTTCTATATCTCTTCTCATTTGCCTTCCAAATTTCACAAGCTACTTAACAACCAGCCACAAGTTATGAGATGGGTACTAATCTAAATTACAGATAGTAACTCATGGAATCTTTATATTTATAGATGAGGAAGAGGGACCCTAGTTCAAGGAAGTAATTGGCTGGGATTTGAACCCAGGGACCTGGCTCCAGAGTTCATGGTCTCAATCACAATGTTGTGCTACTATATTCTTGTTTTTATTTTGTGATGGTTATAATCTTTGAATTATGTCTTATATTATACTTGTATGTTTTAATATTTTAGGGGTCATCTGAAAAAACCAACATTAATAACAATATGATTCTTATAAATATGATAATTCGCATGTCCAAGTGATGGTTCTTGCAACACATGAGAAGGAAATGCTGTCCAAATAGTTACCAAAACTGTGTAAAGAGAACTTTATGAGCAAAAAATTAAATTGATGATTTTTTTCTTGTTTTTATCAGTTGGTTAAAATCATGTCATATTTTAGTTTGTTTACTATTTAAGATAGGACTTTATTTTGAAGTTTTAAAAATGTTCTTATTAGTTGTTGAGGGACCTTTAATTAATTAATTCATTGATTGACTTGTATGCAGTGCTGAGAATCCAACCCAGGGCCTCACACATGCCAGGCAAGCGCACTACCACTGAGCCACAACCCCAGCCTGCAGGATAGGACTTTTCTTGTACAGCTTTTTATTTATTTCTCTGGCATTTCTAATAGCCTTTTTCTCTTACTGATAGGAGCAGCACATGCCTTCATCATCTTACTAATATCATATGGGGTTTAAACAAACCGTTACCTGTGAATCCATTTTTCTTCCTTAAACACCTCAGGACCCTTTGGTTCCTTGTTTTCATTTGTATACACTGATTTCTAGACTTTTTTCTATCACGCTACACAGCTGTCATTCCAGAATTTATTTCTTTTTCTTCATGACTTAAATCTACAGTCTACCTTTAAATATCTGAGGATATTAAATTGAACTTTTAAATATTCTTTTCTGCTCCTTAAGTTATCAATTTTGTTTCCTCTGAGGTCAAGTAGCCTTTTATTTATCCTGATCTTTTTGGAGGAATGTGTGTTTCAATTTCCCTCAAAGCTCTGGTGATCTTAATGACCCATTTATACTTATGAATGAGCGAATACAATGGATTCATAAAATAAATGGCTGGCATTGAATTCCCATTCTGTGACTTGGAGATTTTTCTCCAACAGGTCTTTGTCCTGAATGGGATGGACCAGTGGGAAGCTAGGTGCAAAGGTGATCTCTCTCAAGTGACATCTTCATTTTTAATTGATTGATTGATTGTGGTACTGAGCAGTGTCCCTAAGCCTTTTTATTTTTTATTTTGAGACATGGTCTCACTAAGTTTTCCAGGTGGGCCTTGACCTTGTGATCCTCCTCCCTTAGCCTCCCATGTTGCTGGGATTTCAGGCATATGCTGCTGTGTCTGGCTAGGGGTTATGAATGCGTGGATATGAGGCAGAAGTAGTCTGACCTTCACCTTCCTGTCCTACCCTGGCCCCATATCCACCCACTCCCTAAAACAAAAGAGAAAGGCTTGATTTTGGGTACACAGAGCCCACAGGGAGCTCACACACAGTTCCTCTCTGTGTTATCCCAGTCCTTCTGTGTGGAGAGTATGACGGAGCTCAGATAGGCCTCGTTGGCATCTCCCTGGATACTGCTTTCCTTGCCTTGATGATGAACCTGGGACTTCAAAACCTGAGGGAACCACTGGGAAGGAGGAGCATGATCCAGCCTTCTGTTGTATTCTGGGCTGTGGATCCCCACGGTTCTACCCCAGGATCATGGCACTAGTACCAGTTTCCAAAAGCTGTTTTGCTATTCACAGTGTTGTCAATAAATTTCTCTCTACAAAGCACGGAAATTAATTTTCTATGAATAATGTCTGGGGAGGGAAGGGAGTCAAGCATGTAAGCCTGACATTCATCTTGAACTGAAAAGTCAATGGTGCATACTTTGGGCACAGGTCTTACATGGTTTTATGTAGCAAAATCTATTGTTTCTCAAGTTCTTAATCTTAACAATAATATATACACATAACTGATATATATATATATATATATAAAACTATATAATTAATATATATATTTTTATATAGTTAATATGTAAATTAATTGTATATATAATTAATTTAGGCTAGTTTTCAAAACATTAACAAATTAGAAGGTTGTTGGGAGGATGCTGCTTGTGGCAGAAACAAGAAGTTAAAGCTGATATATAAATTCTTAAAGTAGACATGAGAGCCAAAATCAAAGCTGTCTATACAACTCATGTTACACATTCAGCCTAAAGCTGCACTATGTTGCAAGATAATGACTGAAGATTGAATGGTCTATGTGAGAAGCAAAGAAACTTATAGCTTTAGATTTCCATAATTGATAATTACAATAAAGTTCTGGCCTTTGAAGGGGCATATTCTAGCTGTCTGGATGGTCAGACATGGAGTGTTTCATCTGTCCCACCATCAATGGGGGGCTATGGAGTCAGATTTCATCAACATTTGTTGAGTTCCTGCAGTGTGCCAGGCTCTGTCCTAAGTGTTTTTCACATGGTTCTTTCCATTCTATAAATAACTTATGATTTATATTAAGTTAAATCTTACTTTTAAGAGCATAGCTAGCTTAAATTAAGTCATGATGATGAAGGTGTTGTGCCAGTAAAGGAGGGGCTTTGCACCCAAATCCGGCTTCCTCAAGAGGTCCTCGTCTGGTACTTGTGAAGATGCAGTGAGGAAATCAAGTGTCAAGGAGGCTGAGCCTTTATCACTCACCACACAGACAGGATGAAATAGAGTTATTTCTAGAGCCCAGAATGCTGAGTCCAGATGGACCCTAGTGTGCTAATGTGTGAACTTTCGGGGTTTTTTAAATTATGATTTATGTTTGTTAATTCCTAGGTGCCTTTTGGCTTTGGTGTGGCCGCCAGTGTCCGAGTGGGCAATGCATTGGGAGCAGGGAATGCTGAGCAGGCTCGGTGCTCCTGTACCTCTGTTCTGTTGTGTGCGAGTGAGTAAAGCACTTCTAACCTCCTGGTGTCTTTAAGGAATTTAGTGTGATAAGTGAAAATCAATGTATCAGAATATCTTAACGAATTGAGTCATATATATATACACTCAACTATGCTCTTTCCGATTTACTGAGTTAAGTCAATCTTCTAATTATAATTTTCTGTTACTACATGCCAAGTACATAATGTTCTGCTTGATTCTACTGAAATAATTTCCAAGGCAATTATCATATGCAGTCAGACTTTATGAGGATAGTATAGTCCAAGTGACTAAGTCTCCATGTTCCTGGACCATCACCTCTTCTGGCTATTCCAGTGTCCTAAAATCTCAGCAGTTGGAAAAGATTTTGATGCACTGATGGCCTGGCCTGTTTGTGCTGCTGTAAGAGAGTGCAGACTGGGAAGTCCAAGGTCAAGGTTCCAGCAGGTTTGGCTGTCTAGTGAAGGATGCTTTTTGCTTCCAAGGTGGAGACTTGATTTTCATTCTCCGATGGCAGAAGGGACGGAAGGGTGAAAAGGGGTCCAAAGAGACCTAATCCATTCATCAGGTCACAGCTCTCATGATCCAGTCACCTCCCAGAGAGCACAACTCCCAATACACTTTCATTGGAGATTAAATTTCAACATGAATTTTGAAGAGGGCAAAGCCATTCAAACTATCGCAGTTGAAATCTTATCGAGGATCAGTCTCCCTTAGAAAAAGGAGTCAGAATTGCCAGGGCTTAGTTATCCTTTTCATAGACAGCAAAATGACACATTATTTACCTTATAAAAATTTATTTTGAGTTGGGGTCTTGCTATGTTACCTCAAACTTGTGGGCTCAGGCAATCCTCCTGCTTCAGCCTTGCAAATCATTGATGAGAGTCTTCCATGAGATGTCAGCCCTAGGATTTATCACACTTTGGAGAATTGTCACTTCCTGTTGGCTTCTTCCATGCTTTCCAGGTGTTTGTGCACTTGCACTGGGAGTTCTGCTAGCAGCTTTGAAGGATGTGGTTGCCTACATTTTCACCAGTGACAAGTATGTACTCATGGATAAAAATGTCATTGCTTTTAGGTTTTCTTTCTTCACTATATTTTTCTGATTATGAGAGATGAATAGCAGTTTACTTCATAGGAAAGCTCTTCATGCAGCCAGGAATGAGAAACAGAATTATGTGAATGAGTTTGAATGAAGAAAGCCCAAGAAAACCATTCCCAATCCTCCCATACCCAGTTCATTTACTCATCAGACCTGAGTGGAGTTTTGCTCAGATGTACACAGGAAGAGTACATGTAACATCCTCATCCCCAGAGAGAGGCACCTTACAGTCCAGGGCATGCTGACAGTACCCATGCCTGATTCTTTCTGGGCAGTATTTGCAAAAATGACTGACTTTGTCTTAGGCTCAATTGTATTGCATTTTCTGTAACAATGTGCTTGAATTTTTTTTTTTTTAGGTATGCTGGTGTGTCTTTTCAGTAAAAAAAAAAAAAAAAATCTTCATGGGCAGCAGGTGTGGCTCAGTGGTAGAGTACATGCCTAGCATTCTTGTAGTCCTGAGTTTCATCCCCATCTGAAAAAAAAATTCTTTTTTCATGGAGACTTTGAATAATTTGTACCAGTTGCCTCAAGTTCCGGTTGGGAAGAAATTCAGTCTTATTTTTTACAAGTTGTGCTCTCCCAGTTTCATCCAACTTCACTGGTTTTAAACAAAAGCATAAATGTATTCTCATAAAATCTTAGGCCTAAGGAGGTGGTCAGGTGGAGAAACAGGGACTGGTTTTATCTTCATGCCTTAAACAACAAAAAAGTAGGTATTTTAAAAATGTGTTTTATGCATTAGACAGCACAGAAGAGTTATTCCTGAGAGGGAAATGTAATGAAGAGAAGCCGCGATCAGCTCAGCTCACTGGAAGAGGGTTTTCAAGCCAGGAAGGGGAAGCCCTGGTGTATCAGACAGCTTTTCTTTGCTGTGACAAATACCTGAGAAAAGCAACTTAGGGTAGGAAAGGTTCATTTTGGCTCACAGTTTCAGAGTTCTCAGTCTATGGTCATTTGGCTCTATTGCTTTGGGCCTGAGTGGGGTGGGACATCGTGGCAGAAGGATGCTGCTCAGGTCATGGTAGCCAGGAAAAGAAAGAGGGAGAGAGGGAGACAAGCAGAAAAACCAACCGAACTACAGACAGACAGACAGACACACACACACACACATTCAGAGAAGGGGGCTGAGGATAAGAAATACCTTTCAGAGCAAGTCTCCAGTAACTGCTTTCCTTCATCTGGTTCCACTTCCTAGTTTCCATTGCCTTGCAGTAATTCATTCAGCTACCAAAGGATTAATACACGGATGAATCCATAGTCTTTGTGACCCATTTACTTTCCAAAAGCTCCACCTCTGCACTGGGGACCAAGTCTCCAACACATGAGTTTTTGTGGGACATTTCATGTCCTGGCAAAGCTCCTCTGTCCCCCTCGGGTTGAAGAAACACAGTTGGGAGTTCAAGGGGGCAGTGTGATTGGAGTTCACAAAGCATCAGAGAGAAGAGAGCTCCTCGGAGAGCACTTTCAAGATCCTCAGAGGTCTTTCTAGATCTTGAGCTGAATTGTGTATGTAGGTAACTTAGGGAAAATGGGGCCAAAAGGAGCAGGCAGAATAATCCCTGGAGTTTATAAAGGTTTAGGAAGAGTTTGTGTTACCGCCAGCTGAATGAAACAACCCCAGTACATAGGACATCTATCTGGTAGAGTTTTCAGAAGGGTGTTGCCTAGAAAAGAAATTTAGTCCTAGGTGTCAAGGGTGCTCCGATCTTGCCTACCCAAGCCTAAGTACAAACCTTGAAAGTATCAGACTGTTTCTAGGAAACTTAACCACGTTAAAGCTCAAGGGTATATAAAATGGTAGCTTTGAATAGATGTGATGGACCCAACAAAGTAAAATTCACAACACCTAGCAGACAATTAAAAATGACCAGGCAGGGCTGGGGCTGGGGCTCAGCGGTAGAGCTCTGGCCCAGCGTGGCTGAGGTACTGGGTTTAATCCTCAGCACCACATAAAAATAAATAAATAAAAATAAAAGCATTGTGTGCATCTACAACTAAAAAAAAAAAAAAAAAATCTAAAAAAATGACCAGACCAGGCAAACATAGAAGCAAGAAACTAAAATCTGTAATGAAGGGAGGTATCAGTCAATGGAAAATGACCCAGAAATGAAACAGAGAACTGAATTACTCCTATACAAGGATATTAGAACAGCTTTTAAAACTATGATTCATATCTTCAAGAAGGTAGGGCTGGGGTTGTGGCTCAGTGGCAGAGCACTTGCCTCACACATATGACATACTGGGTTCGATCCTCAGCATCACATAAAAATAAATAAAATAGAGGTATTGTGTCCATCTATAACTAAAAAAATTTTTTTTTAAAAAGAAGGTAGAAGAGGAACAACAAAATGAAACAAAGAAGATAGGGGAGAAATATATGAGCATGTTGAAGTGAGACATCAAAGATATAAAAAACAAAATAAAACCAAATTGAACAGAATATTAGATGACATCAACAGCACATTAGATACCGTAGAAGAAAAAAATAAGGAATTTAAATATACAGCAATAGTAAATATCCTAAATAAAATGTAGATAGAAAAGACTGGAAAGAAAAATGAATAGATAGTATCTGCAGGCTGTGAATGGCCTTAAAACCAAGTATTAGAATTCCCCAAACAGAGGCTCTCCTCTATTGACAGAAGAAAATTTTAAAACATAATGTCAAAAAACCTAGACAGATTTGAAAAAAATCTTAGAATTAAAGAGATCCAAAGAGCTATTTAATGTAAATACCCATCCGATGCTGGGATTCCTCTAAAATATATTTGTAGACCCTGCAGCTTATACTTATATAACTTCAGTGATGAAGAACTTGCTAGCAATGATTGTCAGGGTATCATCCTTATTTTGAGTTAAAATCTTCCTTTCTCACCTATAATCCAAACTGTTATCCTCTGCCTGAGGCAGAGTCAGCTAAAACATTTGCCTGCACAGGTTTCCAACATGTAAAATCCCTCAAAGATTGAATTTAGCCCTGGGCAGGTTTGAATCAGGTGAAATAAAGACGGCCTTCCAAGTAGGGTTTTCTAGGAAACCACCAGACATGTGGTCTGTCTGGAATATAATAATTGTGCTTTGTGAACAAGGCTTCAAAAGAGCCAGCCTGTTCTTCCTCAGGTCATGGAATATAAACTGTTAATGTTCAAGGTTACCAGTTAATGTTCAAGGTGTCCTTGTTGGCAGGAAACATTAGGATAAGTTACAACATCACAAAGCTTGCTGTTCTCACCAATATTCAGCCACTTTTGTTAAACATTTGTTTTAGTCGTAGATAGACACAATACCTTTATTTTATTTTTTATGTGATGCTGAGGATTGAGCCTAGTGCCTCACAAGTACTAGGCAAATGCTCTACCACTGAGCCATGACCCCAGCCCCTCAGCTGCTTGTCTTGAATAAGTGCCCCAGACACCTAAAGCGCCTTTGGTTCATTTCTACAGTTTGGGAAAAAAAATGGGGTCTGATAATACTTGCCAGATTCTACTTTTCTTTCTTCCTTTCTTTCCTTTCTCTTTGTATGCTTCACAATTGTTTTGTTGTTGATAACTAGACATTTTGAATATTATAATAAGTGATTGTGGCAATCAGATTGTCTTTTTTCCCCAGGCATTGCTGTTCTTGCTTGTAGAGGGCTACAGTCCTTTTGTTTGGTAACCTTCCAAACTAGCTTTTATACAGTCTCTATGACCTCATAAGAGATTTCTATAAATTCTTTGATCTGATGAGGATTTTTTTTGAAAGCTCTCTTTAAAAAGATTTTTTTATCCCCAATACTGGGAATTGAACCAAGGGATGCTTTTTTTGCCACCGAGCTACATCCCCAACCCTTTTTACTTTTCTTGAGACAAGAGTTTCAGCTAAGTTGCTGAGACTAGTTTTGAATTTGTGACCCTCCTTCCTCAGCCTCCTGAGTCTCTGAAATTACAGGCATGTGCCACTGCACCCAGCCTCTTTAAATTCTTTGACAAGCATTGCCTGGGAAGGCACAGCAGTCCAAAGGGCCTCTACGCTAGTCCCTCAGTTAACCTGATAGATCAAAACATTCAACTCTGACTTTTGGAGGACAAGGCCCTTATTATCCAACCTGGCAGCAGAAAGCTACCCAAGAATGCTGAGTTATAACCCCAGACCCTCAGCCACTTGTCTTGAATAAGTGCACCCATAGGACACCTAAAGTGCTATGAGTTCTAAAAAAATGGGGTCTGATAATATTTGCCAGATTCTACTGGGAGAATGGGAAAACACAGCTGCTCTGTTGAATGCCAGACTTAACCAGCTCTCACCAGCCTCTTCACCAAGCACTCTCCTTATATTGCAAGTGTTTGACTGGACTCCAGAGTTCAGAAGTGGCTGATTCTGACATTTCTTACCAGTTCAGTGGTAGCTTGGGAAGAGGCTGATTCTTAAGCTTCCTTCTCTGCCATCTTCCATGATGTCACTGGGATAGCGTAGACTTTCCAATGCTGATATGGCTCTCATTCTCTTGTAGGAGAAGTCTTTTTTTTTTTTTTTTTTTTAAGTCTTTCAGATATTTTTGTCCTTGGCTGTGCACTTTTTTTTTTTTTTTTAATTTACTCCCTCCTGTGCATTTTTCTGTTCTTCTTTTGGAATTCTTTTCAGACAAATGATAGAACTTACTCATTAATCCAAAACATCTCTTTTCCCTTATCTCTCTTTGTGTTTTGGGACATTCCCCAACTTTATCTTCCAAGTTGGAATTGAGTCTTTAGCCATGACCATTCATTATTTGGTCTGTAAGTAAAATTTTATTGTTCACATTTTTCATCTCCAATTGACTTTTGCCCAATGGCTCCCTTTTCCTTAACTCCCTGCTGTTAGCTCCTGAATGTCACTAAGAATAGTAATGACAATTTAAAATTTTTTCTCAAGTTCCTTACATTTTTCCTGCTTCCTTTTGTGTCATCATACTTATTTTGATTTTTCCTTTTTTTAAAAAAAATATGCTATTGATTTTCCTTAGTTCCTGGTGGGCATTAATTCCATGTTTGTATTTTTTAAATGAAAAACCATATCACTGTGATCAGTGGAGGGAGTGCACATTTAGGTGGCTGCAGTCCTACCAGTCTGTTCCAAAGAGGTCACTCCTCTGAGTGAGAGAAGTGACTGCAGGCTTTGCCTAACTTGGTGGCTCTGGATGACCATTAGGCTTCCTGTGAAGGTTCATGGGAGAGAGTAGGAAATCTTTTCTCTGGGAGAGGATACTGTGGCCTGTTCCATGAATTTCATTCATAATGACCCTGTCCTTGCTGTGCCTTCTCCAGAGCTCCAAGATGTCCTCTGCAGAAGCTGTAGGCAGATCTTTCATAAATGAAGAATCCAGGGTATCCCTGAAGAGAGAAATGTTACCTATATGAATACTGCTTTCAACTCCATTTTTGAGGAAGACTCCTTTATACAGAGGAGGCTTTCTATACACAGACTGGAACCTGCTTTTTCTTCCCAACCCCCATATTTACTTCCTCATAAATGGAGCTTTTAGAATTATGTTCTAAAACCAAATGCCAAATGTTTTCTCTGATATAAGGAGGCTGATTCATAGTGAGATAGGGAGAGGCAGCATGGGGGGAATAGACCAACTCTAGATAGGGCAGAGGGGTTGGAGGGGAAGGGAGGGGGGCATGGAGTTATTAATGATGGTGGAACCTGATGATCATTACTATCCAAAGTACATGTATGAAGACACGAATTGGTGTGAATATACTATGTATACAACCAGAGACATAAAAAATTATGCTGTATATGTGTAATAAGAATTGAATTGCAAAAAAAAAAAAAAAAAAAAAGAATTATGCTCTAATGGCAGCTTAGTCCATGTCCCTTTTAACCTAAATTCCATGTAGTAAAATTTGAATTAATGAGGTTTTATTATGTACTTAATTTGTCAAAAAGAATTTTTTTTAATTGAATTGTCAGGTTTGTGATTTTTAGGTCACTGACTACTTTCTTTTCCTCCAACAGGGATATTAGTTCCCTTGTGAGCCAAGTGATGCCGATTTTTGCTCCCTTTCATTTATTTGATGCACTTGCAGTGAGTATTTGGAGTGATTTTACTCTAATATACATAACAAAATGTGTTTTGTGTTTCTAAGTTTTTAAATTAAAAATAAATGTCTGCTATTTCATTTTTAAAAAGAGTGAGCTCTTGCTTCAAGCAGTCTGGGCCACTTGAGGGAAAGATGAGTTACTTGAGTGTGTAGCCTCACAAGGTGGAGGAGATTGAGTTCTCCGTCTCCTCCTCTGCCCTAAGTGACATCCAGCCAAGGGGTGGGGTGACCCCTGCTTGAGTCCTCTCGGGCCTGCCATGATGCCTTTAAATTAATTCTGACCACTAGAAAGTCTTTCTCTAGTTTGGTCTTTTTTGGATCTATGGTTATCTGAAGACCCTATGGCTGTACTGCAGAATCACCCCTGAAGGCTTCTTCTCAGTTTGAACAATTATTCTTCATGGTTCCTAGGCCCTTTTTTCATCTTGCTTTTTCCCCCCATGGAATTTCTTGAATTTTTCCCATATTACTCTGAAGATGTGATGCCTGTGACTGAACACAGCAAGTGGTAAGAAGAGTATGGAACAACAGTTACTAATACGGCATTATGTAAAAACGTGGATGTGTAACCGATGTGATTCTGCAATCTGAATTTGGGGTAAAAATGGGAGTTCATAACCCACTTGAATCTAATGTATGAAATATGATATGTCAAGAGCTTTGTAATGTTTTGAACAACCAATAAAAAAAAGAAGAGTATGGAAAAGAAGCTCACAATTGCATTAATATTTTTTGGCTATAATTTTAGACCAATTTCTGCTGAGATACCATCAATGAAGTCCATAAATCCTTTTGTTTTGTATATGATTTTACAAAATATTATTTTAAAAAAATTTTGGGTACTGAGAATTAAATTCAGGTGCTGAGCCACAGCCCCAGTCCTTTTAATTTTTTATTTTGAGATAGGATCTTGTTAAGTTGGTTAGGCCTTGCTAAGTTACTGAGGCTGGCCTCAAACTTGTGATCCTTCTATCAGCCTTCTGAGTCACTGGGATTACAGATGTGCATCACTATGCCTGACTACAAAATATTTTTATTTTTATTTATTTTTTTCCTTTACAGAACAGATGTTTTTCAATTTTTAAATTAGAGCATTATAGTTGGGTTCATTTGGACAAAATCATACATGCATGGAATTTGATTTCAGCTCCTGTTCCCCTGCCTTTTCCTCCCCTTCTCCCTTCCTCTATTCTTTTTCTACTGATCTTCTTCACTTGTTTATTTATTTATTTTTGACTGGTACTTTCTACATACACAAAAAGGTGAAATTCCCAGTGTTATATTTATATATGCATATAACATAATTTTGTTAAATTCATTCCATATTCCTGTCCCCCTTTCCTATTCCTGAACCCTCCCTCTCGATCTTCTTCCACTCCATCATCTTCCCTGTATCTTTATGATGTCTCTCACCCCCACCTCCTCATACCCCCTCCTCACCTTTCTTTCCTTATTTTGCTCTAGCTGACACATATGAGAAAACATTTTTCTGAGTCTGGCTTATTTCAATTAGCATGATATTGTCCATTTCCACCCATTTACCAGCAAATATCATAATTTCATTCTTTGTGGCTGAGTAAAACTCCATTGGGTATATATACCACACTTTCTTGATCCATTCATCGATTGATGGCATCTGGGCAATTATATAATTTGGCTATTGTGAGTAGCCAGATTCGCAAGATAGTCAAGTAGTCAAGATAAAAAGAAATTTAAATTATGTTACCTGATGATTTTTCTGAGTAAAGTTTTTGTGGTTTTATTTTTGTTGTTGTTGTTGTTGTTGCTGCTGCTGTTAACATAACTTAAATTTATTTATTTCTTTTATTTATTCTTTATTTTTGTGGTGCTGAGGATGGAATCCAGGGCCCCTTGCAAGCTAGGCAAGTGCTCTGTCACTGAGCTACATCCCCAGTCTGTTCTCATAATTTTAGAAGCGAAGTGTTTTCCTTTATCTCTTACATAAAGGTCTGCGAGGTCTGCTTTGAGACAGACTATTTGAGCACGACAGACTTGTGAGATACTAATGCACTACTCTGTACTTGATGACGGCTGCGTGACTGCAAAGTTGGTGTTGGTTCTCCTCCCCTTAGGGCACCTGCGGAGGAGTGCTGAGAGGTATAGGAAAACAGAAGATTGGTGCTATCTTGAATGCCATTGGTTACTACATTTTTGGTTTTCCAATTGGAGTGTCTCTGATGTTTGCTGCTAAACTTGGGATAATAGGTATGTGATTCAGTCCTCAGGGACTTAACTTTGAATCTCACTTTGTCATATTAAGATAAACTGCTTGAAATATAAAGCAATTGATTAGAAAGATGTCCTGTGGAATAGGAAAAAATATCCCCCCGTTTATATTCAGTGCCTCCTTTGTACAAATACACTGGAAATGCAGTATTGGACAAAATAAACATGCTTCTGACCTCAAAATGAGCCCAAGATTAAATGATTAATTATACAACTAGTCAATTTCTGTTGGGCTAAGTACGTCAGAAGAGAAGGACAGAGGACCTGTGAGAAGCTACAGGGAACATCTGTGCACTTCTGGCTTGACAGAACAGCCCCCTAGATGATGAGCTAGTTAGATCAGGCCTGAAACTCAGGTAGAATCACCTAGAAAAAATGAGCAGCTTTTGTTGAAAGGACTGTTCTTTCTCCACTGAATGACCTTGGTTGTCAATCTTGTTGAAAATCACTTAGCTATACATATATGGGCTTTTTTCCTGGACTGTCATATCTGTTTTTTGGCCTGTATGTCTGTCTTTAGGACTATACCACACTGCCTCGATTGCTGTAACTTTGTAGTAAGGATTGAAATTAGGAAGTGTGAATTCTCTTTGTTCTTTTTAAATATTATTTTGGCTTGTTTGAAGCTTTATTTCATATGAATTTGATCATTACGTTTTCCATTTCTGCATGAAAGATCATTAGCATTTGAACCAGAATTGCAATTGAATCTGTAAGACTGCTTTGAAGAGTATGGCCACCTTAACAATATTAAGTCTTCCCATTTATGAAAATGAATACCTTTCTATTTATTTAGGTCTTCAGTTTTTTATAGTAATGATAGCAGTTTTAAAGGTACAATTCTTTTACTTTTTTGGCTAAATTTATTCCTAGATATTGTATTCTTTTGGATGCTGCTATAATTAGACTTATTTTCTCAACTTTCTCTGCAGATTGCCCATTGACAGTATATCAAAGCATGGATGATTTTTGTATCTTCTTGTATCTTGATCTTGTATTTTACAATTCTATTGGATTCATTTATTACATCTAAGTTTTTTTAGGAGAAGGTCCAATATATATATGATTGTGTCATCTGCAAAGAGATAATTTTACTCCTTTTCTAATCTTCATACCTTTTTGTTTCTTCTTTTGCATTATTATTCTGGCAAGAACTTCTACAGGGGGCTGGGGATGTGGCTCAAGTGGTAGCGCACTCGCCTGGCATGCGTGCGGCCCGGGTTCGATCCTCAGCACCACATACAAACAAAGATGTTGTGACCGCCGAGAACTAAAAAATAAATATTAAAAATTCTCTCTCTCTTTCTCTCTCTCTCTCTCTCTAAAAAAAAATAACTTCTACAGTAGAATTTAACAACTTTTCTATATTTTTAAGTATATTTGTTTTCAGTATAAGACGATGTAATAGCTAAAATTTATAGAACATGAGATAATAATCATAAAAAACATCAAAATTATGAGTACGCTCTTTGTGTATTTTATGTTACTTAAATATACGATATCCCATTAGTTCACTTTATGCATGAAAAACCTAAAGCCTGAAGAAGTTAAGTAATTTTTTCAAAAGTTCCACAGACAGTAAGGGGTGAGGCTGGATTTGAATTCAGGTCATAGGGCTTCAGATCTGCCCTCCTTGCTCCCATGTATTTCCCTCATTTGCATTTCACTATTCCATCATTCATTCAATAAGCATTCCTTGAGTACCTGTATGTCAGGCCCTGAGCTCTGTTAGTATCTAGGGATATAAAAAGAAACGAGCGAGGTCCCTATCTCTTGTAATTTCATACTCTCTGCTCTTCGCTTTCACTCCTCTCTTGTGCTTTGGCAGTTTTTCCACTTTCTGCTCTTGGATGTTGGTCTTCATTAGGAGCCAGGAGATAGATGGCTTGCTTCTGTTCTCTCCCCCTTAGAAGTCTTGGCTTTATTCCCAGCTGCTGATATGTAAGTCATTCAGATTCAAGGACTCTGCACCACCCATGCTCCCAAACCTGAAGAGTCGTGCCACTATATCCTTCATATCTGCAAAGGGTTCATCCCACTTGCAAGAAAGAAAGAGTTGGGAGTTTACCATGGCTGTGGCAATAGCATTCATCTTAGCGTCTATTATTTCCCACACCCTGTTATTACCCTCTTTAGATGTTACCTCTCAGCACCTGTCTTCTTGCAAAGGAAGGGAAGGGTGGTATACAGCTCAAGAAAACTTCTGGTTTTTTTTACAGACACCTCATTTCTTTTTTTTTTAATATTTATTTTTTTAGTTTTAGGTGGATACAAAATCTTTATTTTATTTTTATGTGGTGCTGAGGATCGAACCCAGTGCCTCATGCATGCCAGGCGAGCGCGCTACCACTTGAGCCACATCCCCAGCCCCCAGACACCTCATTTCTTCCTTGAGGAAATTCTTCTCTCTTGAGATTCATCTCAAGATGGTACCAATAGATCTCTGTCTGTACAGAATAAATACAGTCTCACCAAAGATTTAGAAACTAACTTTGAAATCCACCTGCCAGTTCATCCAATACTTGGAAGTCACCTGTGTTTTCATGAAATAGGTGCTTCTCTGATACTCATAGCTTCGGTGTTCCATTATCTGATGAACATTTTAGAAATGTTTGCTTCTGCTCAGGTGCATTTTTCATCAAGTTTGGGTTATCATTCCATGAAAAAGAGAGAGCTATGTGATAGTGTGAGAAAGCCAAATTCTGGTTAGGGTTTGGTCATGTAATACAGCATGTAACCACGTGTGGTGGCATGTGTCTGTAATTCCAGCTTCTTAGGATTAAAGAAGGGGCAGGAGGGCCACAAGTTTGAGGTCACATGTATGACATAATGAGACCTCCCCCCATCTCAAAAAAAAAAAAGCCATTTGTCATTATTGGCATTCCCTCTAGCTGATGGAATTCCAGGAGCTTTTAATGACTTGCCACATTTGCCTGAAGAAGCCAGCAAAATTAGTGACTTGTTAAAAAATAATTATGTGCACCATTGGAATAGAAGACAATTACCCAACAGTTGTTGCTGTTCTGTCACCAGTTCTTTCCTACCAAATTTGTGGTCTGTCTGTACAAGAGTGCATGTAGAGGACTCCTGGGTCCTCCACACAACACAGAAGCATGGCCAGAAGTCAGGAAAATCTGATAAGGAATGCTTATGTCATACAGACAGATGACACATTTGTCATTCCAAATGTGGCCAACCCCTTCCTCAAAATTTAATTTTCTACCCCTTTCCAACAGCCTTTTTTTTTTTTTTTTTAATCTTGGCAATTGTGGTTTGGGGGGGTTTCAGATTTCAGGATTTTAACATTTAAGCAGAAGCTGAGCATATGCTTGGATCTTGCTTGAGAACCACGAGCCAAAATAAACCTCTTTCTTTTATAAATTACCCAGTTCCAGGAATTTTATTATACCAAGAGAAAACAGACTTCTCCTTCATTATAAACCTCCTTCATTATAAAATCTGTTAGTTGTTGTGTATGTGAAGTCTGTTAATAACTGCATGTAGATGTTGGACCTTGTTACTCTTCTGAATTCCTCTTGTTGTGTACAGTATTTTTCAGTTTATCCTCAAGGGCTTTCCAGGCATAGAATCACATCATCAGCAAATGATTTCAATTTTATAGTCTCCTCTCCAACTTTCATTCCACTGATTCCTTTTTCCTGTGTAATTCCTCTAGCAGTATAATCAATTTTTATGCTAACAGTGGAACGTCTTGTTTTATTTGTGACTTTAGCAATCATGCTTCAATGTTTCTGTACTAATAGCATTCTGTATTTGGGGCTGAAGTACACATGTTTTGTGTATGTTTGTGTGTGTGTTTTATTATGTTCAGGAAGTACCTATGGAGTCTATTTTATTGAATGTTTTCAATAAATATTCAATAATTTTGTCAAATACTTTTTTATTGCCATTAGAAATGATACTGTAATATTTATCCTTAGATCTATTATGAAGGTAAATAATATTAGGTTCTTCATATTGAACTCTCATGACTATAAGTTGTCTTTTTAAATTTTTTTTTACTATTTATTTTTTATTGGTATCAATACATTTATTTTGTTTATTTACTTCTATGTGGTGCTGAGGATCAAACCCAGGGCCTTGCATGTGCTAGGTGAGCACTCTACCGCTGAGCCACAATCCCAGCCCCTAAATTTTTTTTTTGATGTTGCTGGACTTCATTTTATTCATTTATTTATATGCAGTGCTGAGAATCAAACCCCCAGTGTCTCGCAAATGCTAGGCAAGAAGCTCTGCCCCTGAGCCACATCCCTAGCCCTAAGTTGTCTTTTATTGAGCTGATAAATTCCTTTCTGTTAATATTTAAGAAATTTGTAGGGAGAAAGCTGGGCACCCTGAAAGCCAGGAAATAAATGCATGGCAGTGTGAAGAGCTCCATGAATGCACTCCCCAGCAAAACTAATGAAAATCGTGAATAAAATGAAACAACTACAACAAAAACCCAACTTAACAGTCATTGGCTGCAGGAGTACAGAGCAAGAAAATACAGAGTACCAGTAAAGGAACCATTGACATTCAAGGATATGGCTATTGATTTCTCTCAAAAAGAATGGGAATGCCTAGACCTGGCTCAGCAGAATTTATATAGAGATGTGATGTGAGAAACCTATAGAAACCCTAGCTTCCTGGGTACTGATGTCTCTGAGCCATTCCTGGCCACCTCTCTAGAGTAGAGGAAAAAGCCCTGGAGTATGAAGCGACAAGGAACGGTAGCCATATACCCAGCCATATGGTCTCATCAAACCCAAGACTTTTCACAGAGCAGGGATTAATACACTTATTCCAAAAAATGATAAAGGGCAGATATAGTGTTGAAAATTTACACATAAGGAAAGAATGGGAAAGTGTGGGAGAGAGTGGAGGTCAGAAAGCTTGTGATAATGAACTTGACAAATACATAATGACAACCCATAATGAAAATCTGTCAACAGGCATAAAGAACTTATAACATCTCAGAATACAATACATTTTATGCCAGTCACTTTTGAGGAGCTATGCATGTCTTTAAATATGTATCCAGAAAAATTTTTGAAACATACTATTCCTTTGAAAGGAAATTTGAAATGGAGTCTAGTCCATGCTTCAATTAATAATTTGAACAATTTCAAATGTAGCATTGTGTTAAACTTCTACTCAAACATTTCTATAGATAAGAGATTTAAAAATAAAGAAAAAATTTCTAAATGTGATCAATTTGTTACTTTACAAAAATCCATTATTCTGCAATTAACAGTTTCTCCTTGTGCCAACACACACAGTTTTAACAAATATGGGTGCAGTTTCTTGGGTCCCCATTAGATTGAGAATAAACCCTGGATCTTCCCATGGTAGCTTGCTTCTCTGACCTCCTCTCCTGTACACTTACATCCTTGCCACCAGCCTCCTTCCTAACTGACTTTCAAGCTGACCTTCTCCTTTGGCCCTGAACCCTGCAGTGCCCATCCTGAACCATCTCTCTTCCTGCTCCTCACTCTTCAGGTCCCCATCTCAGAGAGCCCTGGGACACTCATTCAGGCTCTGTCTGCAGGACATTATTACATGGCTTTGCCCAATGTCTGTCACGGTACTTGCCATTCTTAAAATCACCACATTTTACTCCTTGTTTATTATCTTATTTCCACCACTACAGTGTAAGCTCCTTGAGGGCCTTGACCTTGTCTGCCTGTTGGATTCTGTGTCTCTAGCCCTTAAAACAATACGTGGTACCAAAAAAAAAAAAAAAAAAAAGCCAGTTAGTATCAGTATTTGTTAGCTCAGCACATAAAACTGCAAACAGTTTTGGAAGCGTTTTGCATTGTTAATTGGTTGACTGCCATTAATAGCTCAGTGGTTGATTTGCTTCTAATCCAGGGCCCGTGCTCATGTAAAATTTTAGGGAAGTTAATTTAAGTTGAAATTTTGGCCTATGGATTATGGACTATTATTGGAAGAATTTTAATGATCACAGGAACAGCCTTGAAGAAAACCTCAATTCTTATACTCATTTTATACCCACAGGTCTCTGGTCTGGACTGATAGTTTGTGTCTTCTTTCAAGCCCTTTTCTACTTGATATACATCCTGAGGACAAACTGGAATAGAGTTGCAGAACAGGTAAGAGTCTGTGTGTGGTTTTAGATATGTAGATCTAGTTGATCCCATGCTGTGGTAAGGAATCTATAAGGTTGAAAATGAAAAAAATGGCACTGGTACCAGGACTCACAGAGTCAGGAAATGCATGTGGCATGCCG